TTGTGGCGGCCCTACTGGTCAGTGCTGATCTCATTTACTGCTAATATAATGCTCGTTGTTTCTGCTTTTTCACTGACACCAGAACAGTGCAGTTCACACGTGTCGTGGACTCTTCATGCACGCTCAGCGCTCAGGAGGTCAGAACAAGCATTAACATAACGACTCCGTTACAATCAGCATCTGCACGTCTTCCAAAGCTGAGAGATAATGTTGGGCTGACTTCAGCTTGCTTTTCCACGGAGAAACACTTTCTGCTTAGAGGATTTAACGAGAGCTTAGCTAGCTGAAGATCAGTGGTTGAATAGCATGCTCAGTTTCATTTTAAACACGAGGAGCTGATCTGAGAAACTAAAGAAAAGCAGGGACACCTCTCAGTTACAAACAGTAATGCTGACTGGCAGGGAAAAGGAAACATGGACACAAATATATGGAAGTCATCAGTGAGCAGAGGACAGGAAGCTGGCAGGTAAAGGTGAGCGTACAGCACCTCAGCTGACCTCGTTCCTCTAGCAAAGTACTTGATCCTTATTTGTTTCAGTAAGAAAAGATCCCGTATCCTAAATGCAGATGGGAAGTATGAAAATAGCATCTTCAGTGCAGAAAAGACGACTTTTGTTTGTAGGTTTAGTTGTTAGAAAAAGAATCTGCAAAAACTGGTTTATGTTTTATTTCCAACAGCAGAAATGACAAACATGTCCCTGCTGTGTCAGTAACTTTGTATTCTTAACCTCTTCTGTCAAGTCTGGGATACATGACTGCTCGCCACCAGCAGCAGGAAACTTTGTATCCATTCAATAAAAATTAGGGTTGCTACTCTGAGCCATCAGCAGCCGCTCAAAGGCCACGGGCCACCTCGTCTGCAGCAGAGCCAACGAACAGAAGCCACAGAAAAGTTTGGGTCACAAACAGCCTGTCACAGCACAGCTACAACATTTCTGTCATATGACAAACATGTTGAAATCACATCAGCTGCTTGATATCAAATATGAAACATTCAATTTTCATTACAGATGCTTTCGTTTCATTTTACTACAGATATATTCAGCCTCTTGTTTGTCCCAGACTTTTGTCCAGTCTGAGACCACAACAACATGTCAGCTTGTCCTGGGCGATAGTTTCAGCCTGGACTACAAGATACACAGTAGGTGCCGTGTCAAACTTCCCTGCCCGTGTAGTTTTACATAGTGTTTCTCCAACAGGGCTAAAAAAGCAGCAGCTCGTGGTTGCATGTTACAAACACAATGGCTGCTTTCATCCTCGAGAGCATCCTAAGAACAACTTTTCATTTGGATCTAGTCACACAGTTTGAGGGCAGCTCCAACACACAAACGAGCACACACACTGTTAGTCTGACTGGTGAACGGTGAGCAGCCAATCAGATCCTCGCAGGGTTTCCTCAGAGCTGATGGACAGACTTTAACTAACGCTGGAATACACCATGCTGTCAAACATGGTGTTTGGTTTGAGCTCATACATGTTATACTGTAGTGGAAGGCTGCTCTGTGTTTGAACCATCACATGGAAGTCGTGCTCTAGAGCCCCACAAGCTCTTTTAATGGATTCATTTACTTCTTCTGAGAATTCAAACTCTACAGTTTCAGCCGAGGAAACAACTTCTTCGAGCACTACAAAAGAACAGTAAGATTTTTTTTATGTGAAAATCTAAGTATTAAGAACTGCTTGCATAGATAATCAGAGGGTTAGCAGCAGCTAGGTGATGTTAATCAAATGCACCTGAATAACATCAACGGTGCCTGAATAAAAGCACAGGTGTGGCAGTTCACTGGTCTGAATCATTCAGGTGTGCTCGCACAAAACCAAGAAGAAACACTGATCTTAACTGTTACTGCCCACTGATCTGTGAAGGCATTCCCAAACAATCTGAAGTCCATCAGTGGGAGAAATTATTCATGAGTGGAAATCAGAATCAGATTAATTTAATAATCCCTGAAGAAATTATGTGAATGCTCAAGACAGCTGTCAATCTTTCCCCAGCAAACTCAACCCAAAGTCAGACGCTGCAGGGCTGAGAGAAGCTCAGAGAAACTGTGGGACAGAGCGCAGCATGTGCACACACAGGCTGAACAAGCATGGCTGCTTTGGAGGGAGTGCCGGGAAAAGCCTCCTCTCTCTACATCAGCAGCACTTAGATTTGCAAATCTGGGATTTTCTTTCCTCTGTTGCAGCGAGTTTCTCGTCTCAGACTGATAAATCACATGGTGTGTGTGTGTGTGTGTGTGTGTGTGTGTGTGTGTGTGTGTGTGTGTGTGAGAGCATCTTTGATGGTCACGATAAGATTTATCAAAACGTTTTCAGACTTTCTGACTCGAAGGCTTTAAGATGAAAATGTATCCTACCCCTTCTAATAATACTCTAACACAGCG